GGCTGGTGGGGGTAAAGGGTGGGATGTGGGGGTAAGGGAGAGTCAGAGGAGATGACCGACCTCCCCAGAGGAATCTGAGGGCGGGGTCAAAGCGGACAGGTCGGTGAGAGGCGCGGCCGGCTGCTGGCGCGAGCTGGGAGTGGAAATAGTTGTACCTGTTGGGCTCGGCTGTCGGATAATGCGAGGCATGGACACGGGCCGAAGTGCGAGAAGTGGCTTCCGCTTCCCACCCAACTCCTAACTTCTCAACACCCACCCAGGGAGAATGTTCAAAGTAAACTTCATTTACAAGAGACGTCTCACAAAAATACTTTAAGCACAAACTTAAAAAAGGATTTTGTGAACAAAAACCTAAGTCGAAAATTTGTTGATATTGTATCTAAAAATATGTTCTTAGTTGATTTTACCAGGACCTAACTGCTATAATTTCCCGAATAAAAAGTGAGGAAAACATCGTATACAATGTATTTCGTTTGCAGTGTATAGATGCCAGTTTGGAATCATCAGCAGGCCCAAAACAAAAGCTCCAAACCCAAGGCGGTGTTCCTGCAGCGTTACGTAGAACGAGGACGGTGCCGTGATGCCCTGCCGGCGAGTTAATCAGGCTTGCAGTTTAGCTCCCCTTGGAGGCCTCGCCCCACCCCACCCCGCCCCGCCCCGCCCCGGGGAGCCGCCGCCGCCAGCCCACAGCCCACTCGCCACCTCGCCTTATTGGGCTGGGCCCTGCTGGGCCCGGCTAGGCCCGTGGTGCTGGAGGCCCTGCCGACCTCAGCTTGCAGGGCTGGTACGCTCTACTGCACGTTGTTTTAATGCACAAAATACACGTACACAGGTACAACAATTGTTTAATCTTGCACGTCAAATTTATGTTCAAGTTCACTTGTGCAAATTTTCGACATGTCTGACTATGTCAATTGGTGTGCAAAACGTCAAACATGTGCACAATACACTTAACACTGGTAAATGTGCAACTTCGCGGTTGTGCAGTCGCAAGTGTTCAGGGTCGGTAGGTGTACGCATTTGCCGGCATTTGCTGCAAGAAGTGTGCAATTCCTGTATTACTCTTCCTTAGATTGAACGCACTAAAGTGTACTTCCATGTATTTAGAAGTTGCACTCTAAGTTTTCAGTGCACGCAAATGTGCATCTGCAGCTATGTAATGTAAAAAATCATGACCTGCAGACGTTGGCGTGCAAATTTTGCAAACGTGCTTTACCATAGCGCAGTGAAATGCTGCGTGATAGGAAGACTGTCACTATCCTTCAATGCGTTTCGAAATGACACAGCCAAAACGTCTCTTTTGTTTTGCATTACGCGAAGTGACAGTGATTCGGGGGGTCTCGCAATCACCAACTCGTTGTACATGAGGAAAGACACTCGCAAATACTCGCGAGAACTCGCGAAAACTCACGAAAAAATCAAGGAATACTCGCCAATACTCTCCAATACTCGCGCAACTCACTGTACACGTCACTAAAAATGCTAGAGTAAGATATCTTACTCTCAGGAGTGTGAGATCAGCAGGGACACAAAAAATCTTACTCTCCTGTGAGCGAGATATCTTACTCTCAGTCAATTTGAGTCATAATTTGCGGTCCTCACCCAGTGAGGGTGAGGTTCCTCACTGCAATTGGGTGAGGTCAGGGAAATCTTACTCCTCCTGAGTGAGAATTCGGTGCATAGGACTCAAATAGGGTGAGCCTTATAGTCATCGCTCTGATTGAGCGAGGCAAAATTGTCTTACTAACTTCGAGCACGACACCTGACTCAAAGGTTTTCAGTGTTGGAGAGTGAGGGACCCCTTGCAGTCGCAGGTGTAAAAGGGGCCTTGTTTCACGACTCGTCGGGTTTGTGTGCGGCAGAGCACGTGAGCTGCTGGGCAAGGACGTCGCTCCCGTCTCAGTTTGGTGGAGTGATGATGTCATTTACTTTTTCTTTACCTCTCCTCCCCTCGGCCCAATCACGGCGCGACGCAACTTGACAAGAGAGCGCGCGGTTAGGACGGGAGGACGGGGGGCAGGGGTCGGCGAAGGGTGCAGGAGGGAGGGGTTATGACACGGGGACACGAGTGACAAACTACGTGCCGTTATTGGTCTATTCCTAAGCACTGCTTGCTTGCTTCTCGGTGCTGATGGGCTGAGGATGTCTCGTGGGGTCGTGGAAACCTATTGCCAACACTGTATTTTTCGAAAAATACTCGTAAGTGTCACGGGAAAATTTTCCATGATTCAAGTCGTAAACTTACAATTACAAACTGTAAATTTACAAACACTCCCTATCGACTTGGAATTGACCGACGAGCAAGAATGGGCTGTCGTAAATTTACGACATATTTTGAAAAGCAAAATTACAATAAATGTCGTAAATTTACGAGGATATTTTTCACAGTGCAACTTACTCTGGCTTTGTCGGGTGAAGCAAAAAAACAAAAACAGAAAAAAAGGCTTATTGTCATAAGCAATTGTGTAGCACAACACTTTACTTGTACTGTTAAATAACTACATTTTTGTTTTTTGATTCTTCGCTTTGTTAAAACATATCAGGTGGTCAGTCGCACCTGGTAACGCCTTCAATACGAGTTAAGTATTAAGTTCCTTGACAAAAGATTACTCAATATTTCCTTAGAGTGCCGTTACTATCACCACGTGTATTTATATTATTTACTCGCCTTTGCGGTTGTGTCATCTTTGAATAAGTCACGTCACACTAACTATGGCCCCCGCCGTCTGGTTCGAGATGCTCACTATGACAGTGTAAGGCGCCTGATACCCAAGCAAGTCGGGCTCAGGCAAAGCCAGTTAATGGTCTGCTCTTCCAACTACGGCAGCGGCAGCCTCGGCGGCAGCCACCCAGCAGGGCACCTGGGATATCATCGGGACTTTGGACAGCTGCCAAGGAAGCTCAAGGGGCACGAGGCGGAAAGCAGCCTTGCGACGCGCAGCTCTCGCGCAGGCGGGCAGCGACCTGTTCCAGCAGCGCCGTCTCACGGAGAAATTATGGCAATTTTAGTTTCACCTTTCGTCAATAAATGTAGGTAAAAGGCTAAGACGGGGTGCATGGATTCACCTAACAATGAAGTTTGTCGGTCACTGCAAAAACGCTCTGCAAATCTATGAATTACAACTTGACAGTTAAACTGCAAAACTAAAAGTCTTACAGTTTAAAGTGCGAAACTGAAGAGTTGTACAGTTTCAACTGCACAAACTGCATAGGGCTAGTTTGACGGTTTAAACTTAAGGCCTTTTACTTTTGCAGTTTAAACAGTCAAGTTGTCATACAGTTAGATTTGCAGAGCAGTGTTTTCTAATACTCCCAAAAATGACAGGTGAACGTGAACAACTTCAATGAAATTATTACAAGTAAAATTACTTGTATTTCACAGAAATTTGCCAGATGCTACCAGAACGCTTTCTGGGATTTGGGTTGCCCGGGCGGGAGAACTGTACTGGCAGACATACTAGTGACCTGAGGGATCATCTAGAAAGTACGTTCGTCATTCGCCGTTACGAATTTACCAAGTTGAGTCCCCTGCAAGCTCTTATAAGCGCCTAGTAGGTAGGCAACATCTCGTCTCAAGTGCATGCGTGTTCTGCGGGATGGCGTACCCTGCGTCTCGCAGGCGCCTAGCCTCCGTAATTTTCCAAATCAATTTGCGAAAATACGTACGTACTTTCTTCAACTTCAATGAGGGTTATACGACGTCAGTTCACATGAACTTGAATCAACGGCAACTTAGGTGGGACGTCAGTCCAAAAGCGGACCATCCCCTGCGCCCCAGCTAGCCCCCCCCCAAAAAAAAAAGGCACGATATGAAATCAGGATACCGAATTACCTCATTATATGGGACCGGCGTTAAGTAAGCGTTAAGCCGTTATTATTATGTTTTACCATTAGAACAGGAACAGTACGGCCCAAAAAAGAGTATAGTTTCTCACCAAAAACAGAAAGAGTAAAGTTAAATTTCTTCCCGTTTTAATTACTAACTCCCGTGCGACATACATAATGCCAGAATGCTAGATTAGCCCTGCAGGCATAGGACCGGACGGATGGAACTGGCCATTCGCAGGGCGAATAACGGACGGACAAACCAAGAGAATGGTCACCGAGGAGAGCCGTGCATAAGGAAAAAGGGGTTGAGCGGTGGGAGTGTGTGGTTGGGGTGTGGTGGGGGCTTGGTGGGGTTGTGTAGGGGGGCATGGTTGAGGGGTGTGGTGGTGAGGGGGGAGGGCACAGTTGAGGGGTGTGGTGGGTGTGGGGGGTGCTGGGTACGACACACACGGGGCCTCTGCGGCAGACAAGCGGCAAACAGGCTCAGAGCAAACAAGACGCAGGCATGATTCTCAGCCCCACCACGCCCATACCACCCACCAGCCCCCTCACAACAGAAGTGTAATCGCATCTGTTGTACCAGAGCGTTCGGCAGTTCGGCACTACCAAATACGCCGAACTGCTCAACTCTGCCCCCCCCCCCCCGTCCCCTTTTCCGACCTATCCTCTCTCCCCCTGATCAGCGGTCTCCCTTTCTCCAATTCTCCGCATACTTGTTGAGCTCATTGGGGTGTAATTGAAGCGGAAAGGAGAAGCACGCGTCGCGTCGACTCCCGCCACGCCCCGCCCCGCCCCGCCACATCGCGTCCACTCTGTCCAAACGAAATTAGTGCGCCATACACCGGCCGCGGGCGGTTGTGCGGTCGATATGCAAACTGTCGCTGATTAGGCATAAATCAAGGCCATTCCCCCGATGATAATCGAACCTGCTGAAGGTGAAACTCTGTCAATAATAAACAGACACGTACACGTGTGGCAAGGTCGCCATAAAAAAATTTTACACGAAGAATAAAAGCGAATCGTGACAGCAAAGGAAGCGCTGATTTTGAAAATGAGCCTCTTTGACCGAGGGGGCCTCAACTCCCTTATGTACACCAGATTGCCAAGATTGCCAGATTGCTTGACAAATACTTAGCTTTAAGGGCATAACCCGCCTGTAACTATAGGCAAAACACTCTAATGTCAGCCTGACTGTAGGCAAAAAGCATGGCTTTTGCAGCCGATTACTTAGAGATTGCCGAAGATTATCGTAGATTGCCGGGGTGGGTGTACACCAGATTGCCGGAGTTGAGGCCCCCTCGCTCTTGACCCCATCGTGTGTTATCGCTCCGGGCCCATCAACTCCCTCACACGGCCAAAAACAAGGGTAGCGCATAAGTTGCCGATTTTACACCAGTGCACTAACATTTGCTATATATAGGTACAACGACTTAGCTGTGAATTAGAGCAAACAAAAACTTTTCTACATCAAGACTCTTATTTCAGGAGAATTTCCGCCCAAAACAGTGGAATGCTTTTTCCAGTTGGTTTTGCTCTGTACCAAGTAACGCTACATGAAGCAACCCCATCAGACTTACGGAGTCGACCCGTTTCCGAGGCCCGCGAGCGTACGACGACGCGCGAGGCCCTTCTCTGCCGCGAAATTGTAGTTTTCAACCCCTCGCCGCGCCGCCACGAGCAGCCGCTGCGCACCTCTCTCGTCGTGGCGCTCATGGCCGCGGCGGTGATGGCAGGGATCCCATGAGATTCGCGCAAAAGGGCGGCGGTTTTGAGTGACAGCAGCGCAGAGTCATGGAGGTTGAGAGTGGAGGGGGCGGGGCGGCGCCGCGCGGCGGGCGCGCATGACTCCTCGGCGCGCTCCCCAACAAGCTTGTGCTTCCGCACTGCATCATCCTGTCTCCTGCAGGAGGCAGGCGGGTGTGACCGGGGAGGGGGGAGAGAGGAGGGAGAAAGGAGAAAGGAGAAAGGAGAAAGGAGGAAGGAAGGAAGGAGGAAGAAGGAAAGGGGAATACACGAGAGGAAGAGTGGCCGGCGGGGAGAAAGCGTATCAAACGGGGAGGAAGAAAGACCTTTCTTTTGCATATCTTTCTTTTTTTGGGGGGGGGGGGAATTATGCTATCTGATGGATTGAATATTTTCCCCTCCTCTCTCCCTCTTCCCTACGTCTCTCCCTGTCCCTCCATCCCTTCCCGTGGTGCCGTGGCGCCCAGACGTAGCCGCTTAGTAGAAATAACGTTTTTACTTCCATTAGGCCTTAGCGCCATTCAACGGAGGATTAGAAGGTAAGCAGCTGGTGAGCCTCCTCCCAGGATCTCCACTCAACCTCTTGACCATACTTCTTTGTCTGTCTGTCTCTCTTTCTCTGTGTCTCTCCTTTCCCCCGACCATAACGATCTTGCTCTGTGATGGTTGGGCAAAATAATTTCTTCGTTGGCACCACCTTTTGAGCTGGCCTGGAACCGCTCCCGTCTCTCCCGATCTTCTTTCTCTTCCATGCGATCATCCGTTTCAAACTCAGGTCTGACCCGGGTCCTTTATCACAATTTCGTGCGGGGGGGTCGCCCAGGAAAAAAAGTCAAGATAAATTATACATGAGAGAAACGATAGCATCTGCTACATTGGACAAAGTCAAACGAGACGGCAATTTCAGAACAATATGAACCTTTTACCTGACATCGTCTGACGGTCTCGTACTTATTTAGATATGGCGCCGACGCCCCCCCCCCCCTGGAGCCCCTGGAGGCTTCTGCTCGGCCCGGTTGGTTCCAGGGCGATACAAACTATGCCCATAAGACGTGATTCGTGTTCCAGGCGCACCCCTGTGCAACAGCTGTTTGAGAGGCCCCGCGCCAGACCGGCCGGCGCGCTGGAGAGCTGCCGCGGAGGGCTGATGGAGGACGGGTGCTCCTGGAGGGCACGCCGCCGGCTCCACGGACTCTCCCCCGAAGACTGATGCGCCCCGGGGGCCCGCTAGGGTGAGGGGGTGGTGTGGGGCCGGTGGGGCGCGGCGCGACGCCGTGCGGTGAGGGCGGGGCCGGCGTCGCGGCTTCGCAGGAGTGGCGACGCCGCGGGGGGGTCGACGACCCCAGCCGTGGTTCAAAAGTCTTTATAAGGAAACCTTCGTTTTGTCGACACGGTGCGCGGGAAAAAAAAAACACATCCAAAACGGGGCATCACGAGTAACGTAGCACCACCTACCACCTCCAGTGAAAGGAACGGCATTCAATCGAGGGGGGCGCTTGCACAATTCAATTACCCAAAGAATTCCCCCCTACATCGGTTTACGTCGTCATGTTCTCATTTTTTTCTTCGCACGCCTCCGAGGAACAGGGTACAGCTGCTTCGCCATGCGACTGAATAGGAGAAGGGGAGGGGGATGGAAGAGAGAGAGAGAGGGAGAGGCCAACGAGAGGAGAAGAAAAGGAGAGAGAGAGGGAGAGGTGGGCGGGTATACGGCCTCTGCTCGATTCAATTCGGCACAATGGGGCAAGTTCCTCAAGCTTGTCCTTTCAGTCACGGAGGAGGTCGACGACGGGTAGCGGGCGAAAGGAGAGGGGAGGTCGGGAAGAGAAGAAAGAGAGGGAGGGAGAGAGATGCAAGGGAGACGGCGGCGACGGCAGCGGTACACAACAATCGTAACTCATGGAGAGGCAATGGGGCGCTGCGGAGCAGGGGTTGTTGATCGACCGGCGGCCACAACTTTGACGTGACTTTTTAGCCGCGGGACTGCTGGAGAGGGGCGACGACGCGTTGAAATAAGGTCCGAGCAGAGCCTGCCGCGTCGCATTAAGTAATGTACTCACGTTGTTGAGCTTGATCTTGGACTTGATCTTGTCCTGCTTGTAGTGCCCCGACAGCTGGTACAGCACGGCCCGCGACCTTCTCCGCTCGTAGTTCGCCGGCGGTGCCTCTGGGTCCAGGTTACCGTTGGCATCTGTGACCGAGAAGGGGGGCGTGATGAGAGATGACAACAAGATCAAGTGTCCGCGCCCTCTTCTCCGGACCGTCCACTACGACCACGTACCGTTCTCATAGTCGTCGTCCTCGTCGTCCGAGGTCTGCTGCGGCCCTTCCTTGGAGTGAGTGATATCCTTGTGGCTCGCCAGGAACAGGACCACTTCCCTCTTCTCGTTCTTGATGGGTACGATGTCGAGCAGGCACCAGAAGCGGACGCCTGCAACATCAAACAGCATCACCTCTGATTACCCGCGGAGCTCCGGATCGATACGGTACATATTGCAGAATCTCTTTGACAAGCAGGAGTCCGCGGGTCGGACAACCTGATTTTAATCGAAAGAAACATAAAGTAGAGAGTCAAATCAAAATAAAAGTTTTAAATTCCACTGGTAACGAATCTAAGATATTCAGTTCAAATAAGGAAATTATAAACGTTTGCGGACGGAGTTGCTTTCAACCTGAGACCCAACGGTAAGGAAGATTCCAGATTTCTTCCTGGATCACAACGGAGTAAGGAGAAAGCAGTCTTAGACATAACCCACCTCGCCTCATATTTCCGCCTGCCCCCTCACAGGCAGCCAGAGAACAGAGAGGTCTGCTAGTTAAGCAAGATTGCACACCCTAAAATGCCAGGGGGGGGGGGGGCACCGAGCAGCAGGTGCACGCCGAGAGGACAGCGCGGGCTGGAGGCGAAGGACGGAGGCGGGCGCTGGCGGCCCCGTCCTGTGCAGCAAGTCCCCGCATTACGCAGGATCAGCAGGCGAAATGGGAAAGGGGACCGGGAAAAGATAAAGCCCCCCCGAGCAGACATGGAAGCGACGACTGAGCCGCAGCAAGCAGTACCGAGCAAAACAGACCTGGCCGAGTCCGATGTCAAGCCGATGTGTGCGGTGGAAATTACAAAATAGGGCACCATTCGTTAGCTTTAGCCCAGTAGTACTCAGCTCAATCATTAGCTTTAGTTCATCCCAATCATAGGTTTTAGTCCCGCAGTATGTACTCGACTCATTTTCATGATCTTTAGTCAGTAGTACTTAGCCTTCTCATTAGCTCAACTTAAATGGTAGAACTCAGCCCAGTTTTCATTCTTCCTCCTTGTGGACATGGCTAAAGCGGGCTGCTGCGCCTCGTCCGTCCACGTGCCAACGGGTCAGCAGCATAATATATCATAATAAATATACAAATCCCTGGGGTTTATGGTGTCGTTTAACGGACAACGTTATGGAAAAACCACCATCCGGCCGGATATGTGAGCGAGTGACGTCATCGCCCAGCGGAACGGCGTAATCACGCGCCATCGCCGTGTTATTCCCCCCGCCCTCCGCACAGTAAATGCTCGGTAAATGTGGTTTTATGGGGCTGTAAACGCGGAAAACTCCGTCCGGAATAACGAAAACGTAATAATAAGAAGGGGAGTTGCGGCGGATTCCTCACGGCGAAAATAAAATTGCACGCGGGAGGCACGTGGCGCGTGTGGTAAGCAAACGACGAGGTAGCACAATGGTTGGATGATGCGTCCGAAACACAGTCCCAAAATAATAACTCTTTATACCTAGATAAATTGAAAGTGTGATGATATTTTAGATGCAGTCATATCTAGACCACGTCATGGGACACCACACAAGACGTCTAAACACTCATTGTCTTCATTTTCCCAATAAATCCCACACCTCCACATTCGCCTCTTTAAAAAAATTATCTACAAAATGAAATTTTCATCGCGTTTCAAAGGAACGATGTCCTGTGTTCAGGCAGGGTCTGCAAGAGCGTGTGTGGGAGGCACAAACACCTGGGCGCCTGGGCACGCTGCGCAAAGCCCTCTTTTTATCGTTGACTGTGTCACTGGCGTGACACAATAGACCGGCGGCTACTTGAGCGTGAGTAACCCATCGCGCCCCGATGGCCTCATTGCATTTCAGCGAAACGCGAGGGGAGGGGCCGGAGGGAGAGGAGGGGGTGGGGGAAGAGGGAAAGAGAGATGGGGAAAAAAGAAAAAAAAGGGGGAGAGAGGAGGATGCAGCCTTACGTCGAACGCGAATGAGAGAGAAGAAGAGTCTCACGCGCATTATTTTATCATCGCGATATGAAAGCACTCATGGCACATTTACGAGCGGGTGAGTGGAGAGGGCGGCAGGGGCCAGGGAACTGGAACCGAGAGGACCTGAGGCCTGTCTGCAAGCCGTGCGCCGCGCCACCATTAGACAATGGTGGCGGAGCCTGACGACCAGTAATTAAAATTGCGAGAACTCAAGACGTTACGAAGGGTAGTTTTGGACTCCTTAGTCTTCCTCCCCTATGTTCTATCCATCTTTTGAAGAGTACACACTAAAGCCTTGTGCATTTTGTTGTGCATCAAATTGCAGAATTTTATACAGCCATAAGTATGCACAAAATTTTTATGCGTAATTGTATACAAAATGTGCATAATTATGCACACACTATACATATTTATGCATAAAATTGTGCAAAATATTATGGCCGTATGAAATTCCGCAAGTTTTATGCACAACAAAGTGCATAAGGATTCAGTGTGTAATAAACACCGAACAACTTGATCCCTCGTGTGTCTGCAGCGGACTGTAAAATAGAGAGTCGCTTCCCTGTCTGGATTTGCGGGTCGCTTGTCACGTCCTGGCCGGTCCTAGTCTTTTATAAATTGATTATTTCACCAACCCCATACACAACATTCACGCTCAATGGAAACAATTATTACAAGGGAAAAAAAGGCCGCAAATAACACAATTGCATTTTCGTTCCAGTTGACGACAGCTCCGTCTGTTCTTTGTTTAAATCCATTTACCGAGTCGCGCGGAGTTCATTCACCTATATTGGTCGAGTCAGACGTAGGCAGGGCGGGCCGTGCGAGGGTCAATGCCGAGATAATCCCAATACGGCTGCTGCAATCCCTCGACAATAACGCGCATTTAATTGGCCCGCCGTGACCTCGTGTGGACGCGCCGGGGTCAGTCACCGAGAGAGGTGCGCGTCTTTGTGCAGTGTACTGTGCGCCCCGGCCCCCACCCCTCCCACACACACACACACAACATTGGAGGCTTCAATCATAATAATGATGTTGGTCTTTGCACAGCCCTTTCCGTTATTCATTTCGATATCGATCCTTTCGGGCTTGTTGACGGTGATCCTCAGGAATTAGTGAAGTGCGGTGAGGAGAGTTAAATATAGGACAAAAAAAATGAGATATTTACACTTTTACTTTAATTAGTAAATAGTGGAATGCAAATGCACACGATCCGTGAACTCCTACACTGATAATAATACAAGTGAGCGAATAGTCAACCCCTACAGTGGAAACGCCTGCATGTGGTAAAGTAAACCCCCTCCCCTCCCACAGTATACCACAACAAGTGAACCCCCACGCTGTACACCCAGAGAATCGTATATTTGAAACAAGCCCAAGGGCCTTGAACCGAGGCTATTTCAGACTTGATGAAACATAATTAAGGGAGTGTTGTCCCAATATATGCAAGGGCGAGGGAGTTCTATGTGCTCTAAGGCGTAGTTTCTCTATCTTATTGGTCTTTTCCTGATCCCCATTTAGGCAAGGGATACAGCCTTGAAATTAGAAAAACACCTAATAAGGTCTTTTCCATAACACATCAGCTTGAACGTAGAAAATTTCGAAATCCATATGGATTAGTGTCAACATGTCACGGCGCTCTCGCGCAGTTCTTCGAAGCAGAACCAACTAGTGCTAGATCTAACAGAGACGTGAGTAAGGGGTATGGGAGTGACGGTGAAGGCGGTACCCGGGGGGGTCACAGACCGATAACCCCTGACCCGGTGTTGACTTGGGTGCGGGCCGCAGCCCAGCGCCGCCAGAGACGCAGTGACAGCCGCCGCGTCGTGTCTACACCGTGGTCCCCACGCACCCTTCTCCTCGTCACCATGAGACTCGCGCTCCTCTTCGCGTGCCTGGCTGGCGTCCTCCTCGCCAGGGCCAGCCTCGCCGCGTCGCCCGGGGACAGGCTGCAAGTCATCGGTGAGCCCACACTGGAAACGCATAAGAGTGCGAATTCCCCACACTTGTAGGTGTGCACTGTGAAAAGTATACACTCGTGAATTTACGACATTTGTTGTAATTTTGATTTTAAAAATATGTCGCAACACGGGAAAAAAAGATTCGCTGAGCCAGCTAATATATTGACTGGTATCCGGACAGACAAGCACATAAACTTCTGTAACCACTATATTGTCTACTCTAATCAATAATTGGCTGTGCCAGTCAAAAATTAGCTGTTAGAGCTCATCCCTTACCTAAATCAGTCGAGGTCTACCTTACTGATG